ATTGACCGCTTCCCTCTTCCTGAAAAATTGTATCTTTTTTTATTCAATGAAAGGAAGTAAAATGAAAAAGAAAAAAGTTGGACGGACAACTTGGCGCTGACCACGGACTGTTCCTATCAAGCACCAACTTCTCGCACAAGAAATTACACCGAATTACAGAAGCATGCATTTGGCATGTTACCAAATAGGTTGCCACGGCGCGCGATGTTTCGAGACCGGAAGCGATTGAAAAAGGGTTAAAGGCAGTCAAACTAAGACCTGGCATGAGAGTATGAGAACCTTAACCAGGACACTGACATATTGGTCTCGTTAGGCTTATTGGCTGTCTTTGGTTTCATCGTAACCGGTGGTTAGAGACATTGAGTGATATAGATGAGTGTCGTAAACACTGGTGTTCATGCATGTTCTCAATTTCTTCGCGACCTTAATCCACTGAAATTATTTATTTTCTCTTCGACTCTCTCAANTGCAAACTGAAACTGATCTGAACATTACTGAGGCTTTCGCCGGCATTCGTCACGTTACTACACAGAAGTAATCCTTTTATCCATTCCTAGCCAAATATGTTCAAAGAATAGCTAGTACAGGCCCAGTTTTGTATCATCACTGAACTTTGAAGATGCAAAATCTGCATCATAAAGAGTAACAGTAGTTGCTAGTCTGTCTTAAGTGCTTTGCTCATTTTTCATATATTTGGAACAAGTGAACGATTTTGTCAGCGTTCTCTCAATCGCACTACTACCCATTCAGTGACAATATTCTTGAAACTACCCACGGCGCGGTCCAATATTCCCTTTTGAATGATGCTTAATCGGAATAGTCGAATTTGTGAAGCAGCTGGAGCACCGGATGCAACGTAAAACTTAGTTCGACATCACATCGACCATTTTGGATTCCGACGTGTTCGTAGATGTTAGTCCCTCTTATGAAAGCGTCAGTCCTGGTAGTATGACAGGGTTGTTACATTTGGGATCAGAATCATTCGGTGGCAGTTTGTGCAGTCGTTATGAGATCCCTCCTTGATAAATAAATAATATGACTTTCTTTTTTCTTTATTAAATATATATGTATACAGTCAAATTTCAGGAACGGGGCCGCTTCCATACAAAGGTTGCTTGGAGCCTCACAGAAATGAGGAGCCTATCTTTCTCACAAGCGATTGTGACAAGGTTCGAAATTAGGACCTTCGGTTGGATATTTTGATAATCAAAACCACCTTGTCACTCTTGAAAATAGGAAGAATCAGTGATTCATCCAACTGATTGTTCATATTGGGCTTATGTTGTGTTGATAAATTTTTAAAAGATCTCGTTTAGGTTTATTTACTTGATTCATAAAGGCCACTCCTTCATTTTCACAGCCACCGAAAGTCCCGAAGAAGCCAAAAAAGTTGCCCACACTTACCCTACTTCCAGTAAATCTGCCCCCGATTGGAATAAACTGGAAAAGCAGGCCGCTGAACTGGACGAAGATGGCGATCCATTGAATAATCTTTTTCAAAAGATTTATGCTGATGCCTCCGACGAGACCCGGCGAGCAATGATCAAAAGCTTTGTAAGCTTTTCTTGAATTTTCCATGGAACTATTACATGTATATATCTATACGGTTTTTTTCAACCCAGTCAGCACAATTGTGCTCCAAGAAAATGAAAGCTTGAATTGTGTCCTGACCAAGCCAGTCATTTGTTGCCAGTTATGATTTTTGTTGCCAGAATGATGTATCTTGTTTTGCTTTCGTGTATTGCGTGTTAGTCTAGTTTTAGGCCTTGTTCGCAGCATTTGTCAAGAGGTTCATCGGAAGCACTGCCTAGGTACAAGCAGTATATAGAAAGCTGCACGTTGCTTGGCCCCTCTCCAGATTATAGAAAGGTGGCTAGACAGTAGTTTCAGACTCACTAAATAAGTGACCGCGAACAGGCAATGACTGCCTGATGGAACAATCATTCTGAGGGTTGCACTCAAATGTGCGAAGTCTAGAGATATGGTGTTGAGATTGTGCTGAATATCAAGGCTGAGCACTCTCCTCTTGACCGGATTCCAGTCATTAACCAATTGTGCGCTGTACGTCTGGATGGTTCAGTACGTTCAACAACTACGGAAAGAAGCGTCGATGTTTATTCGTCATATCGGGGTATGCACCGACCGACTACAGTACACCTGAAATCCAGGCTAAATTCTTCAGGGATCTTTCTCAATTACTCTTAGCTGTTCGATCAATGTACGTCGTAGTTTTCGCCGCAGAACTCAATGCTCAAGTGAGATCCTTGGACGAATAAGCTGCATCGTCATCATCATCATCATTGTACAGCGTAATACAATGAAGCGAACTTCATTGCTCGCTACCAAACTCAATGCATACAAGATAAGTGAGAATGTATAAGGAGGACAGGGATTGGTCCTATTTTCGGGGACGGGAAAAGAAAGCTAACCTCTGGTCAGCACAGAGTACACAACCCAACTGTGCATGCATACAATTTCAAGCATTCTGGTCTGATAAGAAGTGACTGCATGAGCACCAATTTAGCAAGTGGTCGACCTCCATAGGTTGCTTTGGTTGCGGTATGTGTTACACATGCCACCAAATAGATTGCAATGGTGCGCGATGTTTGCCGATGCAGGTGAAGAGTATAAAAACCAAGGATGGTCAAATTATGATGTGGCCCGAAAACCGAAACCAGGAGACTGGGTCATATAGGTCCCGTTAAACTCCATGGATGGGGACCTCGGGATCATTGTAATCAGTGGTTGGAGACACTGAGTGATATGGCTGATGGTCGTGAACAATGGTGTTCGTGCATCTCAATTATTTTGCAACTTTAAGCCACTGATATATTCCGTTTTTTCTACTCTACTTTCAACTTTCCTCTGTTTCTCCTACTGCTTCATCCAAATGGACAGCCAAAAGACAACAACCAAAACTGGCTCCCGAAATTGCATGGTTTATGGTTGTACAGAACACCAGCCGAATAGCTTCAAACAAAAAACATCAAACGGTATTGGAGACCTTACTCCCAGTGAATGCGACAAATCCCGACCGGCCAGGATCAGAACAGGAGTAGTTGGCGTTTACAATTTCAATTCACCACAAATCCCAAAATAGACCGTGAAAACTGATGGGCATCAATAACTAGCGAAATGGAATTAGCAGCTGCATCAGGGAGTAGCCCAAGACTGTTCCAACTGATACGTAACACTGGATACAAGTAGTGAAATAGTCTACAACAAAAGTGGACAGGCCATTCACAATAAGAAAAATAATTGACGACTGGGTGAGGTATTTCAGCGATCAGTTTTGTTCGCCCGGTAATATCTGAATTATACCATCTGTTGCAAGTGAAGTTCGATGAAGTGTCATGTGATCCTTCGGCAGAATCAGATCGATCTTGCATTCTAGCTCTGAAGAAAGAAAAAGCAGCAGGACCGAACGAATTCGTTCTCACTCTTATCAAGATGGGGGATGATAGCCTCGTAAACTGCACGGTGGCAAAAGCGCTTTTTATCATCTCAGAGCGAATCACTGACCGTTTTCATTTTCAGGAAGGAGTCTCACAACGACTGCACAAACCACCGCGGGATGAGTTTTATCCCAATCGCCACCAAAGTATTATCCTCCATCGTACTTCGAAGTCTGCTGCTTTTAAGGGAGATCAACGTCTGTGAACACTAAGCCGGATTCGGGCCTGGCCATTGATGCATTGATCAAGCTTTTGCGCTACATCAGGTTCTCGAGCTGCGTCACACCGACCGTCGATTGTAGTGTTCCTTGACCCAAAAGGAGCCTTCGACTTAGTTGATCGCGAAGTTCTAATGGGCTCGCTTATTGCAGAAGGAATACCCTCAGAAGTACGTTAACTTACTAAGGTCACTGTGCTCGCGTATCTCCAGTCGAGTGAGGGTCTATAACGAACTGAGTACGTCGTTCAACACCAACAGCGGCTTTAGTCGATAGTGCCCTATCTCATCATTTCTGTTCAATTTCGTCGTAGATGAAATACTGGAGTACACACTAGGCAGTCTCTGTTGGCATGAATTGGTCAACTAATGTTTGCAAGACGCGCAATGCGCACTTGATAGACTAACAAGTGCTGCTNGTGTGCGCTTTGCACCTTCAAATTGCAAAGTGATGCTGCAAGACTGGATATCTTCTACTCCCGCTTTAAAACTGAATGGTCCGGAATTAGTCATAACGGTTTGCTTTTTCTACTTGAGTAGTTGCGTGACCAATCACTGTGACGCATCAAAGGAGAACCGCCTGGCATTTCCAAGGCTCAAGGAGCTTACACAAGACTGAAACACTTGTGGCATAGGAGCGACTTTTCACTGAAATTGAAAAGTTGTGTTTATTGAGCTACTGTTTGTTCAGTCCTGCTTTATGGTTTTGAGACCTTAGATTTGCGGGTGGAAAATAAGTGTCGTCAAAAAGTTTTCGATTATGGCTGTTTACGTAGTTCAGCTCACGTGAAATTGAGGGAACAGGATAGTAACATGGAAGCAAACCGTCGCATTCTACCGAGTTTAGCAGGTATAAATGTGCTAGTTCATCGAATTCAATTAGTTTTCAGTTTTTTAAAACTATCAACTATGCATTTTCATGCGCCGGTTTTGGTTGTCCAGTTGGATAAAAAAAACAGAACGAAGATTGGAATGTTAAGAGCAGAGGCAAAGTAGAGATAGAAAATTCATGTAGACTGGGGTTGCAGAATAATGATACACGAGCGCCATTGTATGCGAACCACAGCCATAGCACTCAGAGTTTTTAACCCCGGCTACCACGAGCTCGGGGTCCCCATCCAGGGAGTCTAACGAGACAAATGTAACAGTGTCCTGGTTAGGGTTTTTATACCCACATGCCAGGTCTAAGTTTGACCTCCCGTAACCCTTCCCACCCACTACCTGCCTCGACAAACATCGTGCGTCGTGGCAACCTATATGGTGACATGCGCCATATGTGTCCCAAACACCGTAATCTATGGATATCGGCCGTGAATACCCAAAACCTTGCGCCTAACTTCAGCATTGCATATCCGGTTTTGCCACCATACTCGTGCATTGATGCGTAGATAGCGGTGTTCGAACATCAAAAATCTATCTTCATCCTTTTACCGCAATGGCCAACTCTCTTGACCGTAGATAAAGACTGACCAAATTGCTGTAGCATACATAGTCTGTCGGATGTCACGACGGCGCCATAGATATCTCAAGTTGGCAAATGCTAACCGAGCCTTCTGTATGCGTGCCGACACTTCATTTGTGATGTGTCCGCCGGGTGAGATATAACTACCCGAATAGCAAAATTTGTCTACTTCCTCTACTGCTTCTCCAGTCAAGGTGAGGTTGGGGTCCGAAACTGTTGTGTACTGACTGTTGCTGAGACTGCTGTCGCATCACCAACTCCCGAGCCGAAGAACAGAACACAATCAAAATAGCACAGGACAGTATATTAGAAAAAAACGTGTATTCCTTTCTTTACGGATTAGCGTTCGTTCTATTTATTGCCTCCGGTGCGTTCTGAACGTTCGGTATAATTAACCCATCAGAGTCGTCCGACCGCCCGGTTAATTACGCTATCTGACCAATTAGAAACGTCGGACCGTTCGGTCGAATACACTGACCGATCATTTCGGGTTGGAGGCTCACCCAGCTGCGATTTTTTTTCGTTTGGCTAGTTTCGCCAAAAATGTACATTTTTCGACCACTTTATTTTAAAATTTAACCTTCCGGACACCTTTTTGAATGATCAGTATAATACTTCCATCTCGGATCAACTTGAAATGGCGTAACCTGCTTTCTAATGCGATCGGTCCGCCGTCTTGGCTGCATCGCAGCGTTACTGCTCGTCAGCATGGGTAGAACGTCAGCTACAAGTGGAGATGGCTTCAAATCAAAAGTTTCCAGTAGCAGGTCTAGGTTCAGTGAGCTCTTTCGATTTATGGGAACTGGACACTGTGTCCAACGCAGTTGATTGATGTGTCGCCTCCACAACCAAGTACCCACTTGGACATTGTAGATCACACGACCAATTCTTTTTTGGATGTGCCTGACGGTCCAGTTTGCGTGACCAGGGCGATAATCTCTGACGAGCACGCAGTCTGCTGGTTGGAATACTACTA